CTCAACTCTGCCCTGGGCAGCTCCTGGAATTGAAATGAGACAAATGTCATTCTTCTCTCAATAGCATAGTTTCAGTTGATCTACTGTGGCAGCACGGGCAGTGTGTCTGTCCTCGATCACAAGCGGCAAGTTGAAATCACATCAGAGGTTGTTCTTCTGCTGTTAGGACATTTTTACATTAGTGGATCATTCATAAATGTGTATTCAGCCATACAGAGAGGAGCTGTCATTGACAATAAACACAAGTGAAATAACTCAGTGGGAGAGTGAGAGCTGAAGAGTAGAGTAAACAGGAGGGGAAACTAAAATCAAGCAGAGCATTTTGGACTATGTGTGCCAACAGTACCAATAGGTGTTCCTGTTTTCTTCTTTGTCCAAATCCAACCTGATTATAATCCTCTCACTTTTCAGTCAGTGACTATCCAAGCAGCAGGGATAATAACCTGGCTCCTTCATGTGCTTAAGACTTACTGAAAAATAGCTTCACTGTCAGTAGGAAGACAAATACTTCTTAGATCATTTGTGCCACATGATGAACATTTCCAACAGTAAAGGCATTGTTAGTTGGGGTGCCTGACAGAGAGAACTGCATCTCTTCATTTAAGTGACTAAATGCAATAGCACCACAGATGCCAAACTACTCCCATGATGGCATATTTGCATTAAGGGAAACACATGCCTTATCCCCTGTGTATACTATCAAATTCCCCTCGAACGTGTACTTTTGGTTATTGACTCAATGGGAGGCAGCTAGGTTAAGGTTTAACTTACATGACCTGTGCTCAGCTCTCGGTTGGCAGCTAGCCACACTGCCTTTCTACAAACTTAAGAGCATTAAGATACATGCACTTGGACATTATGCTGGGCAGTCTCAGTAACATGGCACCTTGTTAATACATTTGGCTCGTTAACGTCCTCTGCCAAACTTTAATAATCGCTTTAACTGGATATCACGAACAGGCAGCTAATCAAGCTAGCAATAGCCTTCAGTGTTCCTATTATTAAATAACCACACTGGTTAACAAGCTAGCAAAGACAGTCGGACAACGTAAATATAAAGGCTGTAATTTAATGATATATCCAGGTGCACCGCAGTCACAGCTGTCCTTCCTGCTGCACGGAAGATTAATGTCTATCCTTACAGACGATAGCAAGTATCGGCTTGTTAACATTAAGACAATACGTGGCTGATATTTCCTGGCTAACCATTCACTTTCTGTCTAAATCCCCGCCAACACTCGAATACGACCTTGGGGACCCTGTCTCGTTGTGAACAAAATAAAATCGGTTACCATTACCCATCAAAGGAGAGTAATCCGGAAGAGTGTAGAGCCCAGCAGTGTGTGTGCTTGTAGCTGCAGGCTGACAGATTACCAATTGAAGCGGTTAGCTAGCATATAGCACCGCTGAGCTGCCGCAAAGGCTTCTGGGATAGAGAGGCGTTGCGCATCACTCGGTGATAGGACAGAATGAAATAAATACAAACACATGCACCATCCTTTCTTTTCTAGAGTGTGGTAATGCATCGTATGTAGACTGTATTGGAATTTAATTATACGAATATAATGAGGGTGGTTGTTGAGATACAGTAGGCTTGTTTGAGACAAGCGAGACCTGCGCAGTTGCGATCAACGTCTTGCTAGTGCGTTGCATGATGGTTAGTCATTTTGTCCGACTTGCTCTGGAGGCTCGCCCACATGAGACGTTGAAATCTCGCGGGACAAAGACGCCCGCAGCCTTGAGAGCGAGGCACGGCGAGGCGGCGCAGTTCCTCTCCACGGGCTGCGGAAGCGAAATGCTTGATGGGAAACGACGAAACGACTCGCCGGTATCTCGAGCTGAGCGCTCATTGGTGGTTTTTTCCACGTGCTGCTGATGAAACTCTCCAATTGGCTCGGCAAAAGTTTGTTGTTGTTTTGTGTCAGTTTTACGTCGCCACTTCCATTCACATTTTTCATCATTGTTCCACAATGTTTATCATCATGAAATTAATATCTATATATGTTATACTATACTTGCACTGCTTACCGTTTTCATACTTTATATATCTTAGCATATTCATACACACTGTCCATACTGCTCACAAGCTGCTGTGTATATCTAGTGTATTCATACCCCTCACTGTTTATTCATCATTCAATTCATTCTATATTTTATTCTGTCTATTGTGTACATTACTTTTCACTTTACTGCTTGTTGCACTCCTGGTTAGAAGCTAAACTGCATTTCGTTGTCTCAGTACCTGTAATATGTGCAATAACAATAAAGTTGAATCTAATCTGGAGCAGGAACACATGTATTTTCTTAGTACATATCTGACATTAACGATTAAACACATGTGTGCATTCTTTATAAATGCAAACCGAGTCAAGCCGACTCCGGAGGTGGCGGTATGCACCTTAAAGTTGTTTCCAATCCGCCAAAAAACGGAGAGAAGAAGAAGAAGAAGAAGAAGAAGACGAAGCCGACTCCGAGCTGTCCGACTTCAGGCGAGCTTTTTGAGACCTCCCCCGGCTGCGATCGGCTATTCTCGTCTACTTTCGAGGCGAGCCGCAACGCGTCTCAAACAAGCCTAGTATCTGCTATGTGTTGAACTATGAAATAGATCATACATCTTTATAAACACAGTAAATATAAAAAATAGTTTGGATCACAGTGAACAAGCACTGTAGTCACACAGGACAACCCTTTGCAACGTGCTGTTTACAACACATATACGACACTATATGACCCAGTTATCTATATTAGTTAATGTAATTTACAAAATAATATATTTCATTATCATGAATAATTTGTACATTTTTTCTGCAAAGACACAATGAAGTAAAGTCAGCTCTGTATAATGCTCCTAACCCCTTAAAGATCTGCCTGAGGATCTGAGAGCCTCTTATTGAAATCTTTAAACCTTGCCTTGCCTTGAAACCAGCCAATGGTTTGATTGAAAATTGTCTCTATTATATGTGAATGTATTTAATCTGTAAAATGTTATTCTATTTGTGTTATCTTGCAAACACACACATACACATACAAATATATATATGGGAGAACAAAAAAATATATTTCTTATTTCTTGATTGACACCTGAGAAGCCTGTTTTAGAAATGTGGCGATACTTTGCATACGAGTCACATAGTTGTGTTCTTTTGGTGGACCATCCAGGAAGTCTTTTTGTGTTCATGGAAACTGGAGGTTAGCTAACACTTACATAATGTATTAGCAGCTTGTGTGGGACATGAGGAACAGATGGTAATGTTTTAGTTTGGCTTTAGTCAAAAGGGACTTCCTACTTTTTATGGGGCCCACAAAGCTATTCAAAATGTAAGTGTTATTTTTAGACTTAAAATTGATTTGTTACCAGTAAGTACACCAGCAATGATGACTTGTTCTGAATGCAGAATCTCTCACAAAACAGGGTTGTGATATTGAGCAAATGTTTACACAGCTGGTTTTCAAACTGGGACTCTTCTTTTTGGGTTCCTTGTTTTGCTGAAGCTTGTGGATAATCTGTAGATCAAGTATCTTCACAGTCTCACAACAAGCCAAACCCTATGACACACATACCAACTGGCCTTGCTTTTTATTCTTCTAAATGAACAAAGCTGCCATGGTAATGTGATAGTCTTAACAAGTGTACCTGAGCACAAAGCCCACTGGGAACCTTGTCTCCACAGCAACCAAGGAAACACAACAATAGAGCTTGGCTGTCGTGGTAAATGAGAATCCCCTGGTGACTAAAGCAGGAAATACAAATACCAGGGCGCTGCCTTTTGTTGTGTCTCCCTTCAGGTCAACACAACAAAAGGCAGGTGCACTTTGGAAAGAAAAATGTAAAATCTTAAAATGCAATGTGGAATATTCGCTTTAAGTAGGCTACTCCAAAAACTATTGGTCACCAGGAAATATAAATTCTCCCTCCGATAAAGTACTGAAGTGTACATTTGAAGTGTAGGGTCGTTATTAGAGTGTTTTCATTTTGTGCAACCCTATATGCAATACTTTTGTCAGAGAGTTGATGCTACAAGTTCATTTATTGTATAAGTTGAACATATATTTTGGTCCCTATAGGTTTGTATTCTGGCGGGTAAATGTTTTATTGTGTTGGAGTTGTTTGTACATTTCAATAACTCGTGAATAGTTAAGTGATTTAATACATAAAGTTTGCAGTTGTAAATGTTGTTAATGAAGATATTTAAATACAAGTAGCCTAAGTGGTCAACAGACAAACAAGCCAACGTTTTTTTTCTCTAAATGATCTACCCATTTGTGCCTGCAACTGAACGATTACATTTCCTTTGTTCTCTTGGCTCCCAAAAGCACTACATTAAAAAGGGAGTTTCGCTTATCATACAATATTTAGCCTTTAGACACATGAGAATACACGGATATAGCTTAGAAACTATAAGCATTAGCATAATCAAGCTTTTTGCATGGTAGTGCATTCTAAGTAAAATGAAATGCATTGTAAAAAATAATAATCTGAAAGTCAATCAATACATTATAGTTAAATAACGTTAATTAAGTGTTTATTTCACCCTTTCAAAGGCAGAAATATTAACAAGTTTTACCCGTAATACACATTACATTCCCATAAAGATCAGGCATAGCTGAGGTTTAACCATCTCACAAGAGACCATCAGCTATTTTAAAATCTTCCTGCTGAATGTACCAAAAACTTAAATTGCAGTCTCTCTTCTTTTTATAAAAAGCTTTTTTAAACCCCTCTGTGTCTGTGTGGAGTAAGGAAAGCTACAGAATGAAAATATAACCAAATAAAGCAGAGATGGACACAGACATGCTCTGGCTCCTCTTTTCCTTATATGGTAAAGGCGCGTGAGGAGAGGGGCGGGGCTGTCACTGAAACGTCATCAACGTGCTCCGGAAACGTATCAAGATGTAACTTGTTTGACTAAAGTTAGCGTTGTTTGTGACCAAGAAGAGTATTATTAATCTACTTTTTTCATCCCAATAAGTACCTCTATATTGTGTAGTAAGCCCTGAAGATGAGTGGGAGTGAAAAAGAAAAGGTAAGGCAACAGCAGTTAGCTACTTAGCCTTTTTTTTATAGCTTAGCATATTTGATTCAGTTAACATTTACTCAAATAATTTCATTCATCCAGGGTTCTTGTTGCCTACCGTTATTTATTTATTTTACACAGGAGGACTATGCAGCCCTGAAGGACGAGGGGAACACCCTTTTCAAGGCAGGAGACATGCAGGGCGCTGTCCGCTGTTACACCAAAGCATTAAAGCTGAGTGACAGCAAAGCAGAGAGAGCTGTCCTGCACCGCAACCGCTCTGCCTGCTACCTGAAACAGGAGGAGTACAGCAAGGCAGAGAGTGATGCCTCCAAAGGTGGGATAAATACATTACAGACATGGACATTGTGCATCAAGGACACCATTTAGTTTAAATGTATGGTCAGCTAAATACACAATTAAGCCTATTGTGTTGCTCCATAGTTTCTCTTGGAATACAATCACACTCTACATTTATATATTCAGTTTAATATTTAATATTCCATCTGTCACATACTTATGTATCTATAATACCTTGCTTTATATCTTGTTATTGTTAATTTGTAAATTCAACATGTATATTTCTACTTTCTTGTTTATTTCTTGTCTTTTAATTTGTATTGTACAATGCCATGTATTTTTATGCTGCTGCAACACAAAACATTTCCCAAATTGGGATCAATAAAGTACTATCTTATCTTATCTCATCTTATCTCGTATCTTTTCTTTATTGAAATATTTCCATCCAGATGGATTAACTGTGACTTTCTGAGGTTTGGGCTGTAGCTTACCCCAAACCAGGATCCTGACTGAAGTACGGCATTTTAGTTGGCTTAAATGGACATAAGATTACATTCAAAATGATCAATAGCTATAACTATTTTCAAATGTCAGACCCTTGGGGAAGTGTTTTACTGAGAAACCCTTTAACTATGCATTCACCCACATACTTTCTTACCTTTTTGATTTGAGAAACCATGTCCAGGTGTTGCAAGTAATATTCAACAACGTTATGGCATGTTTGACTTGTGATCTGCAGCCATAGTTTGGCTGATTTGAGATGCGTTACTTTATTGTTGCATTAACTGTTAGATATATGGATGCATGTAAACAGTTACACTGAATGTTGGTCTGTCACTCTTTTCAGCGCTCGATACTGACCCAGGTGATGTGAAAGCCAGGTTCAGGAGAGCTCAGGCTTTCCAGAAACTCGTTCGCCTTGATCAAGCGTTTATGGATGCTCAGAGGTGTGCCCAGCTGGAACCCAAAAACAAAACCTTCCAGGATTTGCTCAGACAGCTAGGAGCACAGATTCAGCAGAAGGTGATGTGGATTTTTTTTATAAAGTAAAGAGACAGAGAGGTTTGTCTTCTGTTGTTAACAGTAACCTGAAGAAACGATGACTTATTACGGTATTATTTTTTAACCTTTTTTTGTAGTCGGTGCAACTGAACTCCACAGATGCTCGTGTGCAGCAGATGTTCTCCCTCCTCTTAGATGCATCTGCAAATGACTCAGATCGACAAAAGGTAAGGGCAACTCGTATGGCAGGAAGAAATTGTTCTAAGCTTCTTTTAATAATGCGCCGTTGTGTTTTGATCTGTGTGTGATTCATTATTCAATTTCAGGCTGCTCAGAATCTAGTGGTGTTATCTCGAGAAGATGCAGGAGCTGAGCAGATCTTCCGGAACGATGGAGTGAAGCTGATCCAGAAACTTCTTCATTCAAATCAGGAGGATGTGGTCCTTTCTGCCCTGAGGACTCTGGTTGGGTTGTGCACAGGGCATCAGTCCAGAGTAAGTTTGACATTCTTATTCTGTTACGCTCTAATTTATACTTTGTTCTTGGGCTGCTCGATTATGGCAAAAATCATAATCTCGATTATTTGGGTCAATAATTGTAATTGCGATTATTAAATGCGATTATTCATTGACTTTGAAAACATCCATTTATTGGAGAAAAATATGTTGAACAGTATGTTTTTAACAGTTGATTACCCTGAACTTTAAGTATAATTCAACTGAAAAACTAAAAAAATAATCGTTTTATTTTGATTACGTTGTTTTCGTAATCGTTGCAAGCCATAATCGTAATCGCGATTAAAATACAATTAATTGAGCAGCCCTACTTTGTTCCTTTTTAATATCCATGCATTTCTGTTTCAACTCTGTACGCTGTAGTGCAGCTGTATCAGCAGGTACTGTTTTATCTCAACAGCCTTGTCAGAGACTATAATTACCACAGTTGTAAAGATGGTGAATTGCTTTGCTGCTTTTATCGCTGACATACACTGTTTTGTTCCCAGACAATGGCTATAGTGAATGAGTTGGGAATGGAGCAGCTGTGTGGAGTAATGGGATCAGGAGCCTCCACTGTGTCTCTGGCTGCCTGCCACCTGCTGCAGGTGATGTTTGAGTCTCTGACAGAGGTCATGAAAAGAGAGATCCGAGGGAAGGACGAAGCCATACTTGCTGGTTAGTTTGGACTCTGATCATGAGTATATTGGAAGTTGGCCACACTTGAAAGTTCATCAATAAGTTAATCAATAACAGTTTTAGAGCTTTCTCTTCTGTGCTTTTAATGATAATTTATTGTGTGATTTTAAAACAGAACCCTCCAAGGAGTTGCGCTCAATGCTACGTCACCTCTTGGAAATGATGCCAGCATCTAATGTGTCGGGGACGGGCAGAGACAGCGCCATCAACCTCATGGTCAAACAAGTTCCTCGGAAGTCCTTGAAAAACCCAGATAACTCCCTCACGTTGTGGGTGATAGACCAGGGTATGAAAACACACCTGCATATAATGTAGAATTCACACATTACTATGCCCTGATTTATAGAAAAGACATAGATCTTCTTCCAAACATACTAACTATGTGGTATATTAAAGAGTATTGCAAACCCATTTCAAACATTTTGCCTCTAATGTTTTTGGATCACGATGTTAATTAACTCCTTGTTTTTCCGCAGGACTGAAGAAAATTCTGGCAGTGGCTGGGACCGTCCCTGAGCTCTCAGAAGGACCACCTCTTACAGAAAACTCCCACATGAGCTGCTCTGTCTTGCTAAGCAAACTCTACGATGACCTAAAGAACGACACAGAGAGGGAGAACTTCAACAAGCTATGTGAAGAATATGTGCAGTGAGTTTTCCACCAAAACTGTTACTAATTGCCTCCCTCAACAAGGTTTATCTGTTTATTCATCTGTCTGTTAGCACTATTGCAGAATAACTACTTGCCCAGTTTTCATTCAACTTGGAAGTGTGTAGCATAGGTTAAAAGGAAGAACCTATTAAATGTTGGGTGCAGATACACAAACTAAGTTTCACTTCTGTTAACATTGAGAGATGTGTGCTAGATTCATGTGGTGTAGGAATGAGTTTATTACTGGGAACAATTCACACAAAAGCCCTAAAAGTCGGGATGTTGCAAACCAAATCTTTAGTACACATTTTCATGGCTCAACTGAGCAATACATCAGGCATTGAACACATCTTATTTATAGTGTTCATGTACATTTTAAGTGCCATTCTGGTTTCCAATGTTTCTGTCACTTGAGCTGCTTCATATTGCTATGACTTAGGAAAATAAAACGTATTACAGACAATAAGCCCAAAAGGGGGATATTTCACTTTCTAACCAGATGTTTTTCTTGGCAGGCAATATTTTAACCAACCTGGTCTGGACGCTAAGCTGCGAGCCATTCAGGCGGTTTCGGTGCTCCTCCAAGGGCCGAGCGAAGTGGGCAACAGAACTCTGGAGATGTCGGGAATGATGGATGCTGTCATCGCTCTGTGTGCGTCCGAAGATGTGACTCACCAGCAGGTCGCCGTGGAGACTGTGATCCATGCTGCAGGCAAAGCCAAGAGAGCCTCCTTCATCACAGCCAACGGGGTGGCACTTCTGAAGGATCTCTACAAGAAGAGCGAGAATGACAGGATCCGCGTGAGAGCCCTGGTGGTAAGTGCTTCAACAAAGCAAGTGTATCGAACATCTCTATATAAAGATGAGTTGACTGTGGTTTGTGATGGTTATTATTACACAGGGTTTGTGCAAGCTTGGATCAGCTGGAGGGACAGACTTCAGCATGAAGCAGTTTGCAGAGGGATCCACGCTAAGGCTCGCCAAGCAGTGCAGGAAGTATGTTTTGCTGAGTTGAATCTTGAGAAATGTCTGCCTATTCCATGCATACTTTATTTAAGACAATCGTGTTGCTTGAATATTTTCCAGGTGGCTGTGTAATGAGTCTTTGCCCACAACCTCCCGCCGCTGGTCTGTGGAAGGCCTCGCCTACCTCACTTTTGATGCTGATGTGAAGGAGGACTTGGTGGAAGACAAAAATGCTCTCCAGGCCATGTTTGAGCTAGCAAAGGTTTGACTGATCATTGTAAAAAATAGTTTTTAATTTTAGTTACACATGGACAATACAGGGCAATTGGTAAGGCAAGGCAAGTTTATTTATATAGCACCTTTCAACACAAGGCAATTCAAAGTGCTTTACAATATTGAAAGACCTTAAGAGCATTAAGAAATAGTGCAGCAGAAACAGATAAAATGGCATTTAAAAACACTCATTTAAAAGCAAAGATAATAAAAAATGAATACTGAATAACAGTTACAGTGCAGTGTGAGATATGAATATATCAATTAAAATCAGTGGCAAAAAGAAAATGTTAAGTCAGATTACCCTCAGAAGAGGTGGTTTACATGTTTGTAGTATATAAAACCACCACCTTAAAGGTAGGGTATGTAAGTTTGAGAAACCGGCTCGAGTGCGCTAGAATTTGAAAATACACGACCGGAGAAAATCTGCCACTTCCTTACAGAGACCCTCCTCCAACACACACGAATGTGCACATGACCAATGAGGGCAGGAGATAAGTTTGTGCACAGATGGAAGGCTGACAGGCAGGTAGGCCATCCAGTTATTTTAGCGGGGCCGGCTAAAATGATTGGTCGTGCTTTTTACAGCACTACGGCTTCCACAGATGCATTTTTTTTTTTAATGGATTTTTTGTCAAAGCACTTAAGATATTCATTGCTATCGGAATGTTAAGAGCATTCCATGGAATATAACAAAAAGTGTATCTCGTGCCGGTTTCTCAAACTTACCTACCCTACCTTTAAGAATACACACTAACTGTTGTTTACTGTTGACTATGATAGCCTTGACAACCTTGTTTTTCTTTGTGTTACTGCAGTCTGAGGATAAGACGGTGCTGTTTGCTGTGGGCTCCACATTAGTGAATTGCACCAACAGCTATGAAGTGGAGAAGCCAGACCCTCAGATGGTGGAGCTGGCCAAGTATGCAAAGCAGCACGTGCCCGAGGTGCATCCCAAGGTACTATTTTTTAAATCTACTTTTTTAATGTAGAGCTACATTTTCTTCACACAAACATCAGACATTATAACTTCCATATTGCATAGAAGCTCTCCTGTTCTTCCCGGCATTGTTTCAAACTTGAGATTGTTTTACATGAGTCTTTCTCTGTGTCAGGATGCAACTTCCTATGTGGAGAAAAGATTGGGGAAGCTGCTGGAGGCCGGTGTGGTGTCTGCGTTGGTGTGTATGGTCAAAAAAGAGAGCCCTGCCCTCACCGAGGCTTGTAGGGAAGGTATCGCTAGGTAAGAAAATGGCAGTAGGTATTTTTCACTCACTGTTGGCTCTGTAGATTTTCTGGTAACACTATTTTGTCACGGCAGGATCTTCTTGGCTTTGGTAGATCGCCAGGAGGACAGAGGCACAGTGGTGGCACAGGGTGGAGGAAAGGTAGAGCACCCTGATAAATATACACTAGTTTAGCCAAAACACTGGTCTGAATACACCTTGCTTTACTGTTTATGGTTAATTTCTTTTTGATTGTCCTTCATAGGCTCTGATCCCACTGGCATCTGACAACACAGATTTAGGTAAAATCAAAGCAGCCCAAGCGCTGGCAAAAATAACCATCACATCTAACCCAGAGATTGCCTTCCCAGGAGAAAGGGTGAGAATCTCATGCTGTAAAAATGATTTTCAGTTAAAACATGAAGAACTTTTCCTTCTTAATCCTGTCTCATTTTCTTTTCCCAGATCAATGAGATGGTGCGCCCCCTTGTCAGTCTTCTGACTATTGAATGCACCCTGCTGCAGAACTTTGAGGCACTCATGGCTCTCACCAACCTGGCTGGCATCAACGAAAGACTCAGGTTGGCCACTAGGGGGAGCCTCTCCTAAGAAATAGACGTCAAATATATATAACATGAGAACTTTCAAATAATCAGACACCCACGTTTAGTTGGAGTTTAGCAAATCTTCTTTCCTCAAACAAAGGAACATTATGTCGTACCTGTTGTTACAGATAAATACAAGATTTGTTTTGGTTACACATGCAGGATCCTAGTTTTTTCATGCCCCAAAGTAAAAATAAACGTGTAAATAGCCATACCAGAGCTGTTTTTAGGACTTAAAGGTAAAAGTAAAATGGCAAGTTTTAAAATAAATATTTAGTGTACAGAGAGAGTGGTCTCTTTATTGTTTCTGGCGTTTATCAGGTCACGCTAAAAAAAATAAGATTTGAATAAGATCTGACATCCTTTCTATATATATATATATATATGATTATCTTGTATTTAAACATAGTTTTTCTGTATCATTATTTGGAGTATCAGATTGTATTTTTGTTATTTCACAGACAAAAGATCATAAAGGAGAAGGCAGTCGCAAAAATTGAAGGCTACATGTTTGAGGAGCACGACCTGGTCCGAGCTGCTGCCACAGAGTGCATGTGTAATCTGGTTTTAAGCACAGAGGTAAGACGCATAATCATATATGATTGTATGTCACAACTAATGTTGAAAAGTAGAAGTAAGATTGGGTTTTTCTTCAGGTTCAGAAGCTGTATTTAGCCACAGGGAACGATCGCCTGAAGCTGCTGGTGCTCTACAGCGGGGAGGATGATGAGAGGCTACGAAAAGCTGCTGCAGGAACTCTGGCCATGCTGACCTCTGAGCAGCCTGAGCTCTGCACCCGCATCCCTGGAACAGTAAGCACGCAAAGGCAGCAGCTCACTGTCCATCAACTTAGCACTGTGGCATACCGCAATGATGCATTATTCAGCTTTAGCTCACATTTCTTCCTGTTTTCCTCTCTTCCTAGACGACACACTGGCTAGAGATTTTACAGTCACTATTGCTCTGTGAAATATCCGACCTGCGGCACCGTGGAGTGGTCATAGTTCAGAACATCATGCAAGCGGACAAGAGTCTGGCTGAGACCATCATGGAGAGTGAAGCTCTGGAGATTCTCTCTGTCCTGGCGAAAGGAGGAGAGGGCACGTCGAAACCCGTTTCTAAGGCAGCTCAGAACTGTTTGGACATCGCCGTGGAGTACAGCATCATCATGTCCAGGGAAGGCAGGGAAAAGGGAACTGAACCATGAAAGAGTACAGTATGTGGATGTGCCACCAGGCAATGTTGAAGTGCTGTGAGAATTGTGTGGGACCAGCAAAGTCATTTCACTTATGCAGGAAACTTTTGGTCTGGGTGGGTACAAGCAAATCCGGAAATGCTCATGTGTCTTAACTTAACACTGTCCCTAGCAATAAAAAGATGAAAAAAGATAGTTGGTAAGGAAAGCAAGCAGATGCAAACAGAAGTGTTGTACTGTTTCACATTGCGTTGCTTTCACATTGTATTGTCTTAATTATACTGAATGTTCTTGGACCACCACCAAAAGTGTAGGTTGGACCAAGTATGCTCTATACAATCTTTACTAAAGATTGCTATTCCTTGATATTTCCAAATGTTTTTATTTCGATATTATGATTCCCAAAAAAACATTATCTTTATCATTATGTGCACTTTTATATTTAGTGTGAATTAAGTTTCAGCATTCCCTCACATTTTCTGAAGGAAATGCATTGATTTTATCATATTTGAACCTAAACACACTCAAAGTTAAACATTTCCTTCACTGTCTTTCCTCTACATTCACAAATGTGCATTTTGTTTTGATTTATATTATTGTGTATTATTATCCACACCACATTCCTTGTGCTTTAATTGTATGGTTTGTTTTCTAGTAATGACTGAACACAAAAAATAAAACATGTATGTGAACTCTCTTGTCATGTCAACTTCAACAATGGTTGCCGCTTATTATATTATCAAGTCATTTTGCACTAGGTTTACTCGTAGACCAATTCATTTTCTGTACATGAAAGTTTTTGGAAACACTTTGGACACATTGCCTTTAATGACACACCAATGTGTGTTATTATTGTTTTTGCTACGATGTGAAATTGATGTTTCTTAATTGGAGCATTTCAGTTCCTCAGACTTATTTCGGATGTTTGTCACTGTTCGTATTTCCAGAAAATATATAAACCGATGCAACCAAAGAATGGGCAATGCTAACGAATGTTAAATAGGCTACATTATAATTTCGTTGCATGATAACATCTTTATAAAAGTTATGTCCCAATCTCAACAAATGAAGCTATGTTTGGATTGATTCAGTGATGCGCGCCCTTGTCTAAATCCTAAATGTTAAAAAAAAACAGAATCATATGTTTGTAGATATATAGTCAGATGACGAACTCAGTACCACAGTCTCCATCTCAAGGCCTAGCTTTCTTAAAACATTGATGTACTTTAGCTGGATGCCTCATCAATGACGTTCTATTATCAGTGTTGTGAAATGGATTATATTAGAAAACTGTTGAAAGAATTGTGAATTGTTTTGTTGCTGTAGCATTTTAACCATGGTTGTCTACCTATACTTTATAATATTCTCAAAAGTGTTATTAAAAGACATTGTTGAGGGGGGCTGCGTGAATGCTTGTGCGCATGCGCAGTATACCCGGAGCTACATGCACCCAAACTTTTGCAGAAAACTGCGTCGCACGTCTTTCCGCAGCGTAAACAGAAGTTACCCGTTTCAAATGCGGTGGTTCGGTTTTGGCTTCAACGCATTTGGCCAGATATATGGACAAGATCAATTATTGGAGGGAGAATGTTTTGAGAATGAACAGGAAGTCAAAGTGAGTAGTCCAACAGAGTGTACTGCTCAGGAGGACAGAAGTGACTGCAGACTGAAGACGGATGGTCAAATCAGAGCAAGCTGGAGTCGAAGAGCATCTTTGTATTTGAATGGTAAGCCTATCAAAAATAAAACAGCTCTTGTTTGACACTCGGAGTGCGTCGATGATATTAATATCACTCTTTATCGAAATACTAATTATCCACCTTGCTCCCTGTTTGCTAGGTGACAGCTGTGTGTGCCTATCAGGTTTCGTCTCCAATGACTCCTGTGGTAATCCTGTAAAAGAGAGCCGAGGCTGTAAAGATGCCATCATCAGTGAATCATACCTGACCCTCGCTTTCTCAGACAGACTTGAGTCCTGGGATCTGCAAAAGAAAGAGACGTCTCCATCATGGAGCATGGAAATAAAAACAGACCCAGAGATCTCTGGTAATCTTCTACAAGTATGATATCAGTTTCAATATCAGGATACATGTATTATTATCCCTGCAAGAATGGAAGTAATCATTCATGCATTTGGTACGTACAACTAGTTCCCGAACAGTGTCCTTCACATGCTTATTTACAAGAGAGGGTGTTACACAGTCACAAGATGCAGGAATACCGGTTCAGATCAGTATACAATGTTTTGTTTAGATTAGTTAAAGAAGACCCACGTCAGAAATGATCATGCTTGTCATATGTCTATCTCCAGAGAGGCTGAATAATCATAAAGCGTTGTCACATAGCTATCATATGCCTACAAGTAAAACAGTTACTGTCAGGCTGACACTCTTCTAGGATCTAGGTAATCATACATCTTGTCATGTACACAGCTACAGTTGGGCCTTTGTTATCATGTGCTACTCTAATATTGGAAGAGTACATTCAGTATTTTCCCAACAATATGTTAATTGGCTAAATGGATATCTTTATGCTGCTTTCTAGGAACCCCTCTAAATCTCCCATTGGTTCCTGGGGGATACATAGCCACCAAAACGCCCCTCTACCGCTCCTTATCCCCACACCTGAGAGCCAAGAGTCTGGCCCTGAGCTCGGAGCATGCCATCCTCCTCAGTGCCTCTGGAACTGTGTACACCTGGGGACTTGGCAGGTAGACCTAATGCTTAAACACCTGTCTTTAGTGGGAATCAGAGCAATATTATGCACTCATGCATATCTTGATCTTTTGTGTAATGCAGCCATGGTCAACTGGGGCATGGAGGCCTGACCCCTGAGGAGGAGCCCAGGGCAGTGGAGGCCCTCTGGGGGATGCCCATGAGCTATGTAGCTACAGGAAGCTGGCACTCTGTCTGTATTAGTGGTGAGTGTTAAACAAAACGTTGCCAGTGAAAATTCTACAAATCGAGGTGGAAAAGGAACTTAAATGACTTTGTTCTTCAGATGGGGGAGACCTTTATGTGTGGGGCTGGAATGAAAGTGGACAGCTTGGACTTCCATCACGAGGCCTGAGGAAAGCAACGCAGCAGCAAATTAGTCAACAACAAGAAGGTAAGAGACTATTCGCCTCAAAACTCGATCAAACTAGTATTTATTTTTACCGACGGTGCTTTCCATCAACCAAAATACTATTATGTGCTGAAGATCACTCAACCCAATATGACATTTCTCTCAACTGTAACGTTTTTCGTGTGGTATGTATGATAGCTACAATTCTCCACACTTGAATAAGCATTTTCGCAGCATTTATAGAAGATGCTTGCCAAAATATTTACTCTGAACAACAGGGGGAAATGTTCACTGTTAGGTCTGTGGATTCACTGCCATTATCTCTTTTCAAATGTAATTTGGGCACCATAAGCGAAATGCAATCAAGCTGAATCGTACTGTGCTACAGTAAAAAGCTCATAACGCACATTTTCAAACTATTTAAAGATATTGATAGTACTTGAAGTATGGGAAATTATTTCATTATCTATGTTTATAATTTAACCATCCCCTAAACTGTAATGCAATCTCACCAGGCATGCTGCTTTTAGTCACCACTCAAAGTTGTAACTTAGAAGAAAATAGCATTACTGCAACATTTACTGTGCTGAACAGGATCACCATGCAGAGATGCCAGCACGTCTACTGCTGAAGAGCCACAAGAGGGAGAGACACATGAAGAGGTATTCATATCAATCCAGGCTTTCCCGGCTCTGCTGGATATCACTCCATCATGTGAAGTCAGCACAGTCAGCTGTGGCTGCCGACACACAGCTGCAGTAACAAGTAAGAAAACACTTACAACACTTGGTAATGGTTGTATAATGATGCTTTTAATTGGCAGATCAGTCACTGTCATATGTATGTTCTAATTCCAGCCACAGGTGACCTCTACACTTGGGGCTGGGGTAAGTTTGAATTTAGAGCTAACTGACACCTTAACAGATTTTGTTTTATCTTTAGCATGCTCCCTGTACACATTTAATTCATCATTATGCTTTAAGCACAACTTAAGCTAATACACTTACTCTGTCTATCCCTCTTTTACCATTTAGGTGACTATGGCCAACTAGGACACCAGACTTTGATCAGTTCAGATGAGCCTCAGCGTGTGGAGTTGTTTAAGGAGCAGCAGATGCGTGTGGTTGACGTAGTGTGCGGTGCGTGGAATACCTTTGCTTCTGTCGTCAAGGAGGAAGTAGCTGGCCCGTAAAGTAATATGGAATTCCCTTGATAAATGTGGACATTGGACTTTGGACAACATACCAGGAAGTGTTACTTATAACAACAAATACAAGAGTTTGAATGAAATGTATTTTGTATAATATAAAACAAACATTGTGAACAAGGTCTTCTTGAAAATATTTTTTATTTTCTTTAGAAATAAAAAAATCACAGGTTTTTATATTTTACAAATGATCCATAAAATAGTTACGGCAATAAAATCCAGTATAATTTAAGGCAAATATCTAAAAGTGTTCGAATTGTAAATGAAACACCATATGAGAGTTAAAGAGTGATCCATTGCCACAGCCCATGAGGTCTTCACAGCACAATCTTGAAAGAACTGTGGAGAAATATAACAGAAGCAGTTAATTATGAACAACATTGCTTTTAGTAAACTATATATCTATCTATCTATATGTCATCATTTGATTTTTAGTCACCTGACAAAATCTGGAGATCTTGAAATGACATGCTGAAACTCTGAGAGGTTCACAGTCCCATCCTTGTCAATATCTGACTCTTCCAGAATCTGTAAAACAAACCAAGGGAACAACTGTTACTCTGACAGGTAGGTGTACAGAGCTGTTTGAACCATGTAGTGTGCCTTTCTACATATTTGAAAAAGAAGAAGCCCCAGTGAACTCACATTGTTAATGAGCTGTCTCATTTCTTCAGGAGTAAGCCTTGTGTCGTCTGTCTCACCGGTGAGGCAGTTTACCAACTTCTCCAGATCGCCACAATCAAGAGTTCCATCATCGTCAAAGTCTGAAAATACAAATATGCTTGTTACACAGATTGATGAATTACACGTTTTAATTAGTAACCAGCTCATATTTGCATCCACCTATTTACCAAATATACGGAATGCATAGTGGGATTTGATTTCCAGAGTAGCGGAGTCACTGAAGGCACTTAGGAGATCTAGGAAGTCCTCAAATGTGAGGCCTCCATCTTTGTATTCAGATGTTGAGAATACATTGCAGATTCTTTTCCTGAAAGGGTTGGACTGTAAGAAGGACAAGTACAAAGGTCAGTGCAGTTTATCATTACTTCTACAAGAACACACAAAGCACAAGACACTCCTAGTCATGTTATGCATATGACCACTAAGCAGTCAACATCATATTTCTCCTATTTTACTTTCCAATAGCTTTTTTCACCTTGAGCTCTGGCAGAGTGAGAATCCTCTCCATTGGCACTCTGTTATTTGGAAGGTCCTTTTCATCTTTAGTGAGCAGTTCAGTGAATCTCTTGTGGGCACTAAACAAATGAATAAAAAAAGACATACGCATGGATCACAATAAACATTGAAACATTGATTCCTATGCTTTATAAAACAACATATTTGTTATGTGGCATGCAGCTCACTTACAGAAGAATTTCCTGTTTTGTCAAGAAAGTCAGCTCCTAAAAGTACAAA